TATCGAGAGCTGAGTCCATGAAACCTTTGGATTGCTCCAACGAACGGTGCTGAACACCACCACCCTGCAAGGTCACACGATAATTTGATGTGGGGTGTTCCTGACAAACACTGAAGCACACAATCCTACCCGATCATCAGGATTCCCACGTTGTACGATAACCACTCCCTCCCCCCTAGGGCTTTTGAATATTTTGAACCCTCCAAGCCTTTGGCGTCACGACAAACGCATGACGCTGCGCGGTATCGTTTGCCTCTCTCGGGGCAAACAGTAACCATTATTTGAGGATTGTTGTTCCTACTAGGTTGGCGGCTGGTGGCTGTCAGAGATTTCATTGACACACACTCACATGTGACACATTGATGCGCAATGGCCCTGTCGTTTCAGCTCCATGGTGTAGGCGATGGAAACGAATGAAGCCAGAACCAAATCTTTCGCCATGTTTTGGGCGGACCCATAGCTACATAGTTTTGCAAGTATGGCGCGCGTTTCCCCTCTGAAGCAGGCACGAACGATGATGCACACGTTTTTTTAGGTGTTGCTGGGAGAGGTGGGTTTAGTCGCGACGGTTCACTTCACCAAACCAGCTGGGGCGAGGGGAGCACCATCTGCTCGACGACTCCTGGGACAGTCATCAGCTGTTTCATCTTTAGGATCGATGACCAAATCGTTCCTGTCGCCGAGGGCGACCAAGACATTTGAAGAGAAAAATGATGACGAAAGGCAGTGGGTGAAGAAAGAGAATTGTCCTATTGCCGTCGGAGCACATGGAGGAGCTCTGACCACGAAGGTGATCCCGATGGCGTCAGAGCTAATAGATCGGTGACGTGTGTGCACAGGCTCATTCATACATGTAGAGTGACTGTTTTGTTTGCATAGTCTACTTGTAGAGGAAGGGGAAAGAGGCAGGTTGAATTGGCGCTTGTGTGGGCGGCCCAAGGCAGGGAATGCATGTGAACGAACATCTAGATACTAAATAGGAGGTCCGAGGACCCGAACGAAACGCCAAGGGCCGTGAGGGTTCCTCTATATATAAGGACTGTACAGAACGCGCCACCACTTAAGAACCGATTATTTTAGCTTGAGGCTCGGCGCTTTTTGGTTGCTTCCAACCGAGCACATGCTCATTTTCCAAGTTCTTATTTCGAGCAGGCATCCACCTGATAAACGGGGTTCTAATTTTTAAACCGATTTCCGATGCAGAGAACACAGGTCTTTCTGGGTGGATTTCATCCCGAGGCACTACGGCTGTAAGAGTAGCCGTAAAATCGCCCCCTAGATGGCAGCACCGCTTGTACGGTGTGGGAGAGGAGAGGTTACCGAGAATAGCTCAGGAGGCGAAGTGGGCAAACAAGAATAATTGATGTACCAACCTACGGAGTGGTACAATGTTGTAGATGACGCACGGAAGGGGTTCGAAATTCACGAAGGTGATACCCTGGAACCGGAAGGTCTGGAGGGGTTCCAGGAGAAGATATATGTTGTCTAGCCGAGAGAGAAGGACATAATGTAACCAGAGAAACCGAGGATAAGGTGGGTCTCGATGTTCACGGAGTGTCAAGAAGGAATAGCATAAGGAGTACCTATATGGACCAACGGATGCAGGGACAAAGCTGAATATCAAAAATTAGGACTGGGGACATTGACCTTCGAGAACTTAGACGAAGATTTAGGTAGACGATGAAGACGACAAATCCAGATGTGAATGCGGCCCTGAGCGCGAAGACCATGTTCATGTACTGTTCTTGCGCAATGTCGGTTGTACAAAGAGAGGGAAACCTACATGGCTGAGCCGGGAAAAATAGAAGGAAAAGGTACAGAGAGATGTTTGACTCATGGATAGCCAAGAGAAGACGGTAGCTGTACTGGGGAATAGGAAATGGGTTGAAAAGGCGGGAAGTGATATCGACAAGATAACAGATAGGCTAGGGAAAACGTTTTTGAGTCACCTTTTTGGCAAAGTAGGAAGGAACGATTGGCCATCGGTGATCGGTCCTGTGGGCACAATGCCCTCTGTCCTGTCGAGGACGCGTGGTCAATAGTCTCACCGCTAAGGCATCGAAAACATGAGAAAGAGAGAGAGTACGCCCCCCCTTCGGATCCAACTCCTACAATCGGGAAGAAGTGTAGGGAAGCTCGTATATATATATGTACGACAGGGAGAGGAGAGGTTGCCGAGAGAAGCTTGGGAGGTGGAGTGGACAAACAACAAGAGAGTAGGGGTAATAACCCAGGGCGTGGATTATGGTTTTAGATAACGTTTTTTATTTTTTGTCTTCACTTCAAATCAGCGCTCACAGCGCTAGCGCCGTTTTACTCCAACCCGTGGTCACACAAAAGAGCCCCTCTCCACCCTCCCCTCCTGCGGTACTTTGCCTTCAATTTTTAATGCGAGAAGAGTGCAGCACTCTCTTCCCTCTGTGTACACACGAACTAGCGCTATCTATTAGGCCAGGAGCGGCAGCGAGAGAAAAACTCACTTTGCAAGAAAACCTCGCTTACGCCGGGATTCAAACCCCTGACCTGACCTCTAGAAAGTTTCGAGGATGCCAACTAGACCACCGGGGCGACCGGCTTAGACCTTAGTTCAAAATCAATGAGGTCCATCCATTGGAAACGAACAGAAAGTCTGTAGGGGTTCGAGAACCAGAAATCTGCTGCTTTTGCCGAGAGAGAACACAATCTATCAAAAGTTCCAAAGATAAGGAGGGTCTAGATGTGTACGGATGTTGAAAGATGGAAAAGGTACCTACATAGACCAATAGATGCAGGGACAAAGCCTTCGAGAACTTTGACGAAGATTCAGGAAGGAACGCGATGAAGAAGACAGGTTCAACTAACTGTGAATGAGGCTCCGAGTCCGAAGACCGGGTTCATGTCGTTGCCAAAAGTCCGTGTTGGGTGACAAGGACAGAGAAATGTACATGACTGCGCTGGAAAAGTAGAAGGAAAGGTACAGGGAGACGTTTGAGGCATGGAATAGCCAGGAAAAGACGGTAGCTGTACTGGGGCATAGGAAGTGGGTTGCAAAGGCGGGAAGTGGTATCTTAGGATAGACAGGCTAGGGAAAACATGTATTAGGCACCTTTGGCAAAGTAGGAAGGAACGATTGGCCATCCGTGATCGGTCCTGTGGGAACAATGATGCGTCCTCTCAAGGACGCGTGGTCAATTGTCTAACCGCTGAGGCATCCGAAACATGAAAGAGAGAGAGAGAGAGGGAGAGAGAGAGAGAGAGAGAGAGAGAGAGGGTACGCCCTCCCCCTCCGCGCGTACAAGCTTTTTTTCACGAGGTCCTCTCCCCCCCCCCGCCTCGAATCTGAAACAAACTGCTGTCTCGGTCATCCCCAACCTTCCTGAGTTCTTATCTTGCAGCCGCTGCTTTTGGGGGCCCCGCTCTTTTCGGTATGCGCATTGGTTCACCATAAGGGCGGGTGCTTGTTCTTATTGTCACGTTGGAACTGAGCACCTGTTCTCATGGCCAAGTTCTTAGATTTTGAATTGTGTGAGGCTCAAGTTCTTGACTGCTGAGTTCTTAGGTGGTGGCGCGTTCTGTAGGACAGTCCGGTGGGAGAGTCTGGTTGTACAGTAGAGAGACAAGGCGACAGCGAGCACCGCCGGGACGAGCCATCATCTTGACATCCGGGCGTGCACACGTGAAAATGAATGTACTTTATTGATAGTGGCATACTGCGGACAATCCGACCTTGAGCCAATTTACAGGAGTGCACGTTGTTCTCCGTGTGGTGTGTTCGGACATGTGTAACGACCCGAGTGGGTTTCATCTCCAAGCTCTTCCCACAACTTGGAAATAGTCTCCGGTCGTCCGCCACTAGGCCCCGGTGGTAGCCCTCGATATCTGAAGTAGTCTACGTGTACGCTGTGGGGCTCACGTGGTAATATATTTGTATCAGCTTTCTGTAGCTTCCGCCTAACGGCGCTACTCTGGTACTATGATGGCCTTCTCATTCACCCCACCCTTCCTCATTGGGGGATTGACATCAGGGTACGCCTCGTACAGAGAACGCTGGCACGCCCACCAAGAAACACGACGCCAAATGGGTTTTGGGGCAGCTGCGCGTCCGTGGCCCCTCCCTCACAACCACCACTTCCTCGCCCGACATAGGTTCGCTTGCTGTTAACCCGTTGTCACCTTCCCAAATCTTGCATCACTCTGATCCGCAAGCCCACTCTCCTATCCTCCCATAAAGCGGCCCCTTTTCATAACCCAGCTTCACGTCTTTGAGTCCCTCCATCGTGGCTTGTGCGTCGTGCCTGGGAGTGTTGGCTCCCCCGACGTGGTGAATCACCCGCGCATCGTCAATTCCGTCCAGGTTCGAGTCCGGCCGACACATCCTCGTCTTGCCAATGCGTTACGTGCACCTTCGCATGAGGTATGGCGACCTTGTCTAGCGTCCCCAATCTAGAAGATATGGTCGCATTTCCCAGGCTTTGGTACAGCAGCCACCGGCCCAGGGGCATCGCAACGCACGCCACCAAACTAACACACCAGGTGCATATAAAAAAATATGTTTTTGTTAGGCATGACCAATGACAATCCAGCCTGGCAGCAGTTTAGCACTAGTGGAGCCACTGGAGCGCGAGGCTACATACATATTTGACATTGCATTCTCACTAGGTTGCTTCAGGTGCGAATGATATTCCAGTCTTCGTGGGGGGTCGTGCCTATCAAATCATCAGTACCGCTATATCTCCGCCGCCCCTCACGTTCTCCTTTGAAACGCATTCTGTCGCGAATCGGATTACTATCGTCGTGTGATCACATCAGCAAAGAATGTTCTGCGCGCCGCAAACAGAGGAACTTTCTACACAACGCCCACTTTACCAAGGCCAACAACGAGGTTCCGCCGGATACACGGCAGCAGTGTGAATGCATTGTTCGCGAAATTAAACAATTTTCCAATCGAAATTTCAAGAAACGAACTCTTCGATGCGGGAATCGAACCCAAAACAAGCTTCTAACCAATGGGGCTGTAGCCCAATCGAGGGAGATCACAGACCTGTCCACGAACCACAGCGGCACCTCTCAATATCAACTTGTTTCGCGTCGACGTTCTCCTATGGCCAGGGGGAAAACGAGTCGACATGCCGGTCGCACGCTTCAAGAATAGGCCGAGACGGCAGTTCAGAATCGTTGAATTTCAATCGCTTGCCCAAACGACACCCCGGCGCCGCTAGAAGAGCCAGCGCCGTCAAGGGCCATCAACTGGATCCGGCTTCCAAACCGGTTGCCCTTCATAGCGCTCGAGACTCCCTGGGCAAGAACCGTGGTGCATCCTTGTACTCTTTCCGCCGCGATAGTCGCTTGAGGTACAAGGACAGCTCGTGCGGCCGGTAATCCTTCCCCAGGGACTCCGCCATTCTGTGGCACGCCTGGACAACGAAGAAAAACCCACACGAGGGACGTCATGGCGTTGGGTCACTGTGCGCGTCGGGCAGTAGGAGGACATGGAAGCGTTCATGGCCGATAGTGGTGAACCGGGCATCCCCGGTGGCATAGGCTTCGGGAATCATACTACACTTTTTTGACCAGGGTATGTTGAGCCGGATTATCCGGAGGCGTTCTGGTTACTTCGTTTCGTTCCAGCCTCGAACGCGTCGACTATGTAGTCATGGGGTGCCAACGTGCAGATTCAACGAGAGGGAGCCGTGGTGGTGTGTGTTGGAGGTAGGAGTCGATCGTTGGAACTTGGCAAAGAAAGAAAATGATCGGCTGGACTGGAATACACCACGCGGAGCTGTATTCTTCCGTACACCTCGAGCTAAAACCAACAGCAAATCGACGAAAAAATTCTCAGACATCACCAGCAAGCATCACCGAATGTGATATTTTTCGCCTACCTGTACTGCGACGGCCCTCAGCTCTGCCGTGTCCTTCGGCTTGAACGCCGGACCCACGCGCCCGTCGGCGCTACTTGCTCCCACCGCCGTTTCTGCTATCTCTTCACCCTCTCGCGGCGCCCCGTCTGCAGCCGTTTCGGCAGTCCCTGTTGGCGTTGCCGTTTTTGCTGGCTCGAGGATTCCTAGAGTGGTGAGAGCCGTGATGACGTCGGCGTCCGCCACTGCAAAAGCACCGCGTACAGTGACGCAGGAACGAAAGGGGGCAGAGCAAGCCTGGTGTTGACACAATATGATAACGACGCGTTCCGGCATCAAACCTTCGTATAACAATGCTCTGTAGCACATGACGCATTCATCGGTGGAATGACACTCCGGCAATCAAAGGATGCAGTTCGTGCGGGAAGGGGACCTGCGTGTCAGGTGTCTCTTTCCGGCGACGAATGAATCCGTTTCGAAGCACAAAATCAATAATGCTGTGGGTTTCGTTGTGTTGTCGGAGGCGTCAATTGGCAGGTTTCGAAGGACAGCAGCGCCTTGCTTGTGTCCCACACGAAACAAGGCTAGGCTGACCCTCATCTCCGAATGGCCGGCACCAAGAGGTACAGCTGAACAACCCGCATGTCGCCCGTCGGCAACCGCCCTCCAGGAAACGAATAACGACGGAGCACCATCATGTCGCAAAGGACTTGCAAAGGCTATCGTTGCTGGCCGTCGCCTTGTATTGAACAGCCAGACTGTGTCGGCACATGATTTTCCAGAGCATCATCCGCTCAGTCCCGCCCGTCTCTGGCGGGAAGCCCCTTTTTCTATCTGAACACATACCACGAAATTTGCTTCGCTCCCCACAATATGGTGGAGAATTCTATTTTCATACCGGCGGTAAGCTTGTCCGAGTCATCAAACCGGAGGTCTTCCACGGCCTTCCCCATCCTTGAGCTTAGCTCGCCCGCCAGCACCTGCAGCGGCGCGCAAAACAGCCAAATCAATCAAGACCCGTCCAAAATATTCCTCGAGTCACGCATGACAGACTCGGCAATGCGCTTCTCCGCGCCAGAGTGCCCGGAAGAGCAGGTTTTTGCCCTCGCCGTCATGTTATCTCCATTTCCGGAAAGAGACCGCTCCAAACACGAAAAATAGATCTCGCACCCGGATCAACGGCACGGGACGACGCTAATCTCGCCGACCCCGGATCTTCGGTCTTCAGACGCATATATGGAACAAGCGCGCCGTCTGATCCACGCACACGCGAGCCTCTTCGCGCTCCCAGCTCCTCCGGGAGCTATATCTACACTGGGTTCCGGTAGACGCATTGGCCCGCGCTTGGCCGAAATACGGAACCAGACCCAAAGTAGAACTACCGACACATGTAGAGACAGAAGAGCGGTGGCACACAAGGAGAAAGTATCTTGACCGAAGCACCGTCTACCACCAAAGTTCCCCTATCTACCACCCATCACCTACCTGAGCGTTCTTGAGCATGAGCACGTCCAACCCCTGGAATTTCAGTCGGCACACGAAAGACCGCAAGAAAGGAATGATGGGGGACACCAAAAACGAGCAAGTACACGAGCGGGCGACGAACCCACACGGTCGAGTAAGGGCTAAGGCATGAAAGCCAAGGATCGCCGGAGGCACGGCGGCTAGCGCGTGAAGGGAGGGGGCGACCCAGTATGCGGTACTCCGCAAGATGAGCGGAGTCCAGGCTGCTGCCTCACTGGGAGGGGGGCGCGGGCAGTAACAACCAATCGACGCACTGGAAACGGTAGAAAAAAAAAATCAATCTGCGAGCATACGCATCTGGAAGGTAGACCGCTTTTGTTGAGATTTGTCGCGCTCCGGTCGACCGTACGAAGGTATGTAGAGAAGTCGCCCGGAAACCGTTATCGGCTAGATGGAACGAATTTCGAGTAAAATCGGGTCCACACACGACTCTATATTCGGCACAAAAACGCGCGTGAGATGCTCCTGCAATAGACCCGGGTGGGTAGAATATTTTCCACATGTTGGTTTTGTCGGGTCCGGATGTGGTTTCCCACCTGGCCTGGCCATGGCTGGGGCGTTTACCGCATGTTCACACTACATGCAGATGTCGCCGCACATCTCAGGGCTGTGGAGCTGGACGCACATATACCCTGAATTCCGGGGTCGCTTGTCTCAGGTTCACCTGACGTCGTTACTGTATGATTCTTCGGCGCTTGCCGCATGCTTGCACTCTACCCACATATATATTACCGAACATCTTGACGATCAAGCGGCTCGAGCGTAACTCCGGGGAAGCTCGGTCCCTGGGTCGACTTTGACCTCGCCGTCGTTACTACCTGTCAACCTGTGTTGGAGCTGGGGATTTCGGACATCCCGCGCGCGCTACAGCGTTCCCCGGACGGCCTCTTCTTTTTGCCTGTGAGGAACCCTACGGTGTCCTCCCATTGTGTACCAGATATTTCCCAAATATCCACGGAATATTCGCCGACAACAATATCCGCGATAATCGGAATCTGAAACTTGTCCGCAAGATGAACAGGCGGCCTTACGCGCCGCAGGCGGGCCGCTCTGCGGCCGAGTCACACCCCACCCTCCCCGCCAGAAGGGGTGCCCCCTTTCCATCTACCTTCGCCGCCGCGGCTCCAAACGGGCCCACCCCTTCGGTTTTCCCTGCCGCTACGGGAGCGCCGCCGCCAGTCATTCTTCTGCTAACAAAGAGGAAGCCGATAGCCACCGGACCGATGCGCGGTGGAGGACAGCAGGGCGCGGGACCTCAAAAACGCCCGCCCCCGCCGCTGTCAGCACCAGAACAGGCGGGTATTGTCGACTACAACGGGCAAATGCAGGACGCCCAGCAGTGGCCCCCGCAGACACCAGGGGCACGGGCTTGCAGCAGCTGCGGCGAGTTCCAGGAACCCCAACCCCAAACCATCATTAACTAAGTTGTGCTTTTTCCGTATGCAACCGCTGTATGCAACCGCTGCGGGCCGTGAAGTCGC